ACTCTTGATGGTTGGTGGAGTATTTTGTTGTTGGTAATTTTTGTTAACAATATCAACAACAACAACAACTCTTGAAACAACAATCCTACAACAATTATTATGATTTTCACGAATAGATTCAAAAATGTTTAAACCTAGAGTGTCGAGTAATCACATATGGACTCTCACCAGTGAACTCTCATCATAATCTTCTTACAATAAATGTAAGGTTTGGTGATGTTGTGCATGATGTTCCGTGTAGTTGTGTTGCTGTGGTTGGTCTCATCATATTTTTGAAAAAGAGGTATTTTTTATAAAATAATAAATAATTAAAATATGTGATGAAAACTGTAAATTACGATTTTATGAAAAAAATAACAAAATTAAAGCGTATTATCATATTCATATGTAGAATTATTTCGGAATGGTGTTAGTGGTGTTAGTGGTGTTGTGGAACAACGAACAGTAATTGTTATCATTGATAGGATTGCTACCATCCTTTAGTATTAAAACGTGATAGAATGTGTTCTTCAGTGTGTTGGTCATGTAATACCATCACGTTTCAAAAAACAAAAACAAAAAAATTCCTTTAAACATTGTTTGAACAATGCTTGCACCACAGAAACGAGTTAGTGATTTTGGAGATGGTGGACAAATAGATCAAGTTCAAGTTGAAGAAACCACACCAAATCTTATAACTTCCATCATACGATTGAAACAATTTCGCATCAAAGGACGATCATTTGAATTTCAAGAAGTGTTCGAAAATCCAAAAAGTGATACTTTGGTTTGTAAATGTTTGGGTGATGATGGATATGAATACGTTGTTAAAATTGTTAAACTAATTGATGGAATATTTCCAAGTAATGATCTGAATGGTACTTATTCAGATGGTTATCAAGTAGGAGAATGGAGATTTGCTGCAACTGTGAAAAAGTTGTTCGATTCTAGTGGTAACTTATGAGGTTTCGGAACTAATTGGTGAAGAAATTGTACTTGTATCAGAATATAGAGGAATGGATATGAAAAAATATGGAAAGAACAAATCAGGAAAATTGTTCTTGTGTGAAGCGCTTCAAATTTTAATTAGAATTGCTAATGCATTATGTCGACTCCATGAGCATAAGCATAATATAATTCATAGTGATATCAAACCTGCAAACATCTTTATTAGCTTTGAACCAACCATTTATTCATTTGATGTCATTGATGCTGCATTGGGTGATTTGGGAATAGCCAGAACTGTTTCATCAAAAAGTCAGCCAATTTATTCATCTACTAATATATTTTCTACTCCTGATACTGCAGACACATACTTAACACATCACGGAACATGTGGTTATATTGCACCAGAATGTTTTAAAGGAGAACAATGTGTATTAAGTGATGTCTGGAGTTTGGGAAGAGCCATGCTGTGGCTGTTGTTTGCTAGAAAAATAGATGAAACACAGTCTCATGCTGAAGTGCTAATGAAATTGCAAGAAGATATTCAAAAAATAGACTTGTTAGATGACAATAATATTTTAGAATTAATAGAAAGGGGAAATCTGGAGAAAGATGTGACCGTATGGAGAGAATTATTATTAATACTTAGAGGCATGTTAGATGAATCATTGGAGAAAAGGTTTTCTGCTAACAGAATATTGGAGGCCATTTTTGATATACATTTATCAGGACCAATCACAATACCACACCAAATACATACACTCTACCGATTTCGTAAAAATCGTTGTATACAGTTACTTTGTGTATTACAAGGGGTTTCGTTGCATCTACTATCAAAGGATAATAGAGAAGTTGTATTGGAAGCAGTTAAACAAGATGGCTTGGCATTTAAATATGCTGATAAATCATTAAGAAAAGATAGAGAAATTGTATTGGAAGCAATTAAACAAAATGGACGTGCACTTGAATATGCTGATGAATCATTAAGAAAAGATAGAGAAATTGTATTGGAAGCAATTAAACAATATGGCTTTGCACTTGGATATGCTGATGAATCATTAAGAAAAGATAGAGAAATTGTATTGGAAGCAATTAAACAATATGGCTTTGCACTTAAATATGTTGATGAATCATTAAGAAAAGATAGAGAATTTGTATTGGAAGCAGTTAAACAAAATGGCTTTGCACTTAAATATGTTGATGAATCATTAAGAAAAGATAGAGAAATTGTATTGGAAGCAGTTAAACAAAATGGATGTGCACTTGAAGATGCTGATGAATCATTAAGAAAAGATAGAGAAATTGTATTGGAAGCAGTTAAACAAAATGGCTGTGCACTTAAAGATGCTGATGAATCATTAAGAAAAGATAGAGAAATTGTATTGGAAGCAGTTAAACAAATTGGCGTGCACTTAAATATACTGATGAATCATTAAGAAAAGATAGAGAAATTGTATTGGAAGCAGTTAAACAAAATGGACGTGCACTTGAATATGTTGATGAATCATTAAGAAAAAATAGAGAATTTGTATTGGAAGCAGTTAAACAAAATGGCTTTGCATTTAAATATGTTGATGAATCATTAAGAAAAGATAGAGAAATTGTATTGGAAGCAGTTAAACAAAATGGCTTTGCATTTAAATATGCTGATGAATCATTAAGAAAAGATAAACAATTTGTATTGGAAGCAGTTAAACAAAATGGCTTTGCACTTAAATATGTTGATGAATCATTAAGAAAAGATAAAGAAATTGTATTGGAAGCAGTTAAACAAAATAGACGTGCACTTGAAGATGCTGATGAATCATTAAGAAAAGATAGAGAATTTGTATTGGAAGCAATTAAACAAAATGGCTTTGCACTTAAATATGTTGATGAATCATTAAGAAAAGATAGAGAATTTGTATTGGAAGCAGTTAAACAAACTGGCTTTGCATTTAAATATGCTGATGAATCATTAAGAAAAGATAAAGAAATTGTATTGGAAGCAGTTAAACAAAATAGACGTGCACTTGAAGATGCTGATGAATCATTAAGAAAAGATAGAGAAATTGTATTGGAAGCAATTAAACAAAATAGACGTGCACTTGAAGATGCTGATGAATCATTAAGAAAAGATAGAGAATTTGTATTGGAAGCAGTTAAACAAAATGGATGTGCACTTGAAGATGCTGATGAATCATTAAGAAAAGATAAAGAAATTGTATTGGAAGCAGTTAAACAAAATAGACGTGCACTTGAATATGCTGATGAATCATTAAGAAAAGATAGAGAATTGTATTGGAAGCAGTTAAACAAAATGGCTGGCCGATTACAAAGGCATTTTTGAAAGAAAAAGACAAGCCAAAATATTTAAAACAAGATAGACAAATTGTATTGGCAGTTATCAAACAAAATATTAGTGCACTTGAAGATGCTGATGAATTATTAAGAAAAGATAGAGAGTTTGTATTGGAAGCAGTTAAACAAAATGGATGTGCACTTGAATATGCTGATAACTCATTAAGAAAAGATAAAGAATTTGTATTGGAAGCAGTTAAACAAAATGGACGTGCACTTGAAGATGCTGATAACTCATTAAGAAAAGATAGAGAAATTGTATTGGAAGCAATTAAACAAAATGGACGTGCACTTGCATATGCTGATAACTCATTAAGAAAAGATAAAGAATTTGTATTGGAAGCAGTTAAACAAAATGGCTTTGCACTTGAATATGCTGATGAATTATTAAGAAAAGATAGAGAAATTGTATTGGAAGCAGTTAAACAAAATGGACGTGCACTTGAATATGCTGATAACTCATTAAGAAAAGATAGAGAAATTGTATTGGAAGCAATTAAACAATATGGCTTTGCACTTGAATATGCTGATGAATTATTAAGAAAAGATAGAGAAATTGTATTGGAAGCAGTTAAACAAAATGGCTTTGCACTTGAAGATGCTGATGAATCATTAAGAAAAGATAAAGAAATTATATTGGAAGCAGTTAAACAAACTGGATGTGCACTTGAATATGCTGATGAATTATTAAGAAAAGATAGAGAAATTGTATTGGAAGCAATTAAACAAAATGGATGTGCACTTAAATATGTTGATGAATCATTAAGAAAAGATAAAGAAATTATATTGGAAGCAGTTAAACAAACTGGATGTGCACTTAAATATGCTGATGAATCATTAAGAAAAGATAAAGAATTTGTATTGGAAGCAGTTAAACAAAATAGACGTGCACTTGAATATGCTGATGAATCATTAAGAAAAGATAGAGAATTGTATTGGAAGCAGTTAAACAAAATGGCTGCCGATTACAAAGGTTTTTTTGAAAGAAAATGATATTATTGCCAAAATATTTATAAAAGTTAGATTCAATGATTTGCATTTCATCATTATTGAATTGATTGAATTGAATTGATTGATTGAATTGAAAATTTATATTCGAATAAATTAAATATGTAATTAAAACAAAACAAACTTACTTTCCCATAATCATGTATTTTACATTATTCATTAAAAGTGCATCTCCTGAAAAATTGAATTAACAATAAATGTTTGAACTAAGTACCTACCTTTTGAAAATTGATAACCAAATGATCTCGTTCTAAATGAGAAGAGTTGGAAAATCTTCCAACATTGGAGTGCCTTGTGATCCATATTCACCTTACCATTCTTAATGGTGGAGATGATTGTACCAATTGCATCCTCTAAAACAAATGTACTCGTAGCATAGAGTGGTCCAGTATTCCAAATTGAACTATATTATTGTATAATATCATGGAATATGAATGCATTGTGTGGTATTATTGAGTGGAAGTGGGTCAACATTGACGGTGGTGATGATAATCAGTGTCACCGCTAAATTGTTACAACTTACTCTGGAAAATGTTTTACCGAATGTGTAGCCAATGTACAACAATTAGAGCCAAACTCCTTTTCAACATTTTGAAGTAGAGTGCTAACTTCATAGTCGAACAATTTGATTCGAGTATTGTCCTTTGGGAAGGGATTCATAATGGTAGAGATGAGATCTTTAATTCCAACCATGATTGAATAATGGGCTTGACTCAAAATTCCTTGAAAAGCTGATGTACAATAGGCAAATATCATGTAAAACTCAATGGCTTTATAGTGAGCCAAATTACTCAAATCTCTCACTTGTCTGTGATACATGGAAGGAGTATTGATAGATAAGAGGTTTTCTTTTGGAAAAGAATGAAAAGTTGATATTAAAACATACATAATTTGTGTGAATGTCATGTTAATATATTATATAATGGAATTATTGTTGTTGTTATTAATTGTTATTAATATTATAATAATTTCACGATATAATTATATTGTTGGTGTTATAATAATTTGAATTGTTACAACAATATAATAATTTGAAAGCGCAACTTACTATTAATATCTGGAAGGTGTCTATCATAGAGAACAACAATTCTATTGAGTACCTTCCTTCCAAGAGATTGTGCAATACATCACAACTCACCTGTGTTGTCCCTCTAAAATAGGGTAACCTTAATAGAATGGAAACACCCGAAACTCCTTCAAAGGATGGAATTTCATTCTTGTACAGTTTGATAAAATTTGGTTTCATTTGTTCCCAATTTCGTGTAATTGGGTTACCTTGGCCACTGCTATTGCAACCACTAATGGATGAATAAATAACACCTGTATCTTTATCCTTTCTACCAAGAAGGTTACAGAACCGACAACCATTGCACCCAGCATGTCCAATTTCTAACAATTCTTGAATGGAGACTAAATCTAATCATGTTAAACAATCTCACCTTTAGAGTATAGGTAGAGTTGTTATTATGTGGATCCTTCATCTCAACACCCCTATCTAGCAAGATTAATTCACTGATAAAATTGTGTAAGAGAACTTTGTATGGAATGGAATGGTTTGCATAGGCAAGAAGAAAGCTTACCGTTATGAGAATCGAGTTTCCAAGGGCAGCTCATTGATCCAAGCAAGGAGAGGATTGATGCTCTTATTTGTTGATTTTGTAGCACATGCACCATCAGTACCAGCACTCAGTGTGAGGCAAAGAGCATTATCATCCCACCAACCATTACCTGTAATTCTTTCGTATTCTGTTGAATCACAACAATCTGCTATTGTTTGAAGATGTTGAGCAGTAGTAGTGGTACTATTTCCAATTCTTGTTGTTGTTGTTGCTAATGATTGAGGTGGAGATTGATTTGATGTAATTGTTGAATGTAATGTTGTTGTTCTTGTTGTTGTTAATGAGGGGTGAGAAAGAAAGCTTGGTCTTTTTACAACCTCTTTCAATTTGGCTAATCCAGTTATTTCCACCAATTCTGAAATACAGGATTTGAAGGACTTATGCCAATAGTAAGGTGACTTTCCAATCTTTGCCTTGCAGATGCTACATTCACCTCCTCTAGGAATGATTTGCTCATGACTAGCACAATAATAGACTTGCTCGTAATCCTTCTTTACATTTTCAATCTTGTTGAGGATTGTTTTTAGTTTGGGTATTCTCTTGTTGAGGATTGGTCCAAAGATCGAGTTGATGATTGTGATTAGAGTGTTCATATTGGCTTTTGAACTCTTTGATTCAGCAAAGTATTTGGCTAGAGTGAGAGACATGTCTGTGAAGGTATGCTCTGATCCTTTGAAGAGAGGTTTATCATCTTCGAGAAGTGAGTCTCTAGCCTTCTTTAAGAGTCCACTTTGCAATGCTTGAAGAAAATCCAATCCTTCATAATCATCATCATCAACACGATGACTATTGCTCATCACTGTATCAATTCCACCCAATTCTAATTCGTGCATAGTTTGATGATTAATATTGGTTTCTACTTGACCTGTAGAAGGAATCTGATGACTTGGTACATGATGATGATAAGGGTCGTATTGATGATGATGACACTGACAACCAAGAGTAGAGCAATTAAAAGAATGTTGAGGTTGTTGAGGTTGTTGTTGATGATTGAGGCTGTTATTATTACTTTTTGCTAATTGTCGATTTCGTCTCTTCATTGCAAGAAACTCTAATATAACATCCTCCCTTCCACTTTCCAATAGTCTCTTCTTCTTAGCCTTTGTTAAGGTAGTGTTTGTTGAGGTTCTTTGTATGGATGTTAATGATAAACGCATGATGAGTGACACAAGTCTGTTCTCACACAAGGCTTTAATCTTGAAAAAGTTGAAACTTGTTAGATCCAACATCCAACTACCTCTACATCCAGAAGCATACTGTGACAAGTGATAATCTTCTCAAGAATAAGCCTGAAGGGCCTATTAGTGTAATACTTGTTGTTCCTTATGATGAATGTTATGTGTAGGAAAAGTCATGGGATTTGTAAGTAATGATGATACCCAGATGCAAATCTCTGTCAGTGCTGTGGAGACAAACTCTAACTTGGTTTTCAATAATGCAGAGTTTATAGTTGGTGCCGTGTTGAATTGGAAATGGAATGAATTAGCCATAGACTTTGCTGATCTCCATAAAACTTCGGCTAGTTCACTTGTCAATATGACAACCTTATTGGATCCAAAGAATAATCATGTTGATAATTCAGACATTTTTGGTCCTTCACCTCCAACAGTGTTTTCAACCATTTCACAAAATGTTATTCCTCATCTATCTCAACAACAACCATCACAACCACCATTGGCAACATTATTTACACCATCGTCATCCCTTCCTACATCATCAAGAATGACTCAACCATTTGGTAACATTTCAAGTTTTCCTTCTGCTCCTCATGTTAATATATATAGTGGTGCTGTTGTTGGTGGAAGCGCAAGTAGTTCTGAAATTATTTCTAATTTTTCAATTCCAAGTTTTTCGGGAGGAACTATTCCTAGTTTTTCCAGTTGTGGTCCTACAAACAACATGATTCATTCCACAACATTTGAATTTCAGCAAAAAAAGTATGAAGAAAGAATAGCCCAATTAGTTCAAGAACGTGATGAACTTGCTCAAAGAACTGACCAACTTGTTTTGGAATGTGATACATTGAAGAAATTGAATGAGGAGCTAGTTAAATCCGAATCAGAGGCCAAAAAGAGAACTTCTCAAGTCGAATTCCATTTTAAACAAAAGAAGAGAAAGGTCAGGGAAGCTTTAGCAGCAGTCTGGGTAGAAGATGAAGATGAGGTATGTAAAGCAACCTCCTTCACATTCAGAGGAAACACTTACTCTCTCACACCAATACAACAAGTAGAAGTGAAAACTATTGGTCAATTTGGTATGGCTGTTGATAAACTTGTGGAGATGTTCCATTTAGAAAAACCTCCATACTCAAATAATGATTTGAAGGAATTGGAAGTGGCTGCAATCAAGCTTACTACTGTCGATGCCGTTGAGGATCAGAAGGTAAAAAAGAAGAGATTTGATAATTATCGTCAGACTAGAAAGAAAGCCCAGCAAAAGAACAGTGATAGTAGTAGTTAACACTCTCTCTGAAAATCCATCAGAAGGAGAGTAAGAGTTGTTGCTGTGCTGATTATTTAAAATCATCATGAAGTGTCCTGAATGAACACTGGCTTTAATTATATTCCATCACCACCAATTGTAAATTATAAATATATATATTGAACACATTTATCCGAATTAATAGTTGGTTTGATCCTACTAGGGTTATGATGATTTGATAAGCATGATGATGATGAAGATTTTTTTAAAATTATTTTATTACCCATTACAATGACAAAAAGCCAAGGCCGTAAAAATTCAGCCATACAGAGGCGGGCCTGCAATTTGGTAGTCTTTGTAATGTTTTAAAAAAAAATGTAACAACACTGAACCTAGCATATCACTCTGCTGGTTACTCATCACAAACAAACAACAAAAAAACAATCAAATGCCAGCCACCATCAAAACAATCAAGAGTAGAAAAAACTGTACTAACTACTTCATCAATTACGATCGTGAATTCTTTGAACAACAACAAGAGAAGAAAACCAAGACACCAAAAGAGAAGGTATCGAAGGGGAGGGTTGTATCAAGTAGAGGAATCAAGAAGAGCAGAAGGAGTAATAT